TACGAAGTTATACGGATGGTAGTAGACTGATCCAGAATGACAGCCATTACAATCCAGGTATTGGATGGTAGGTAGACTGATCCAGAATGACAGCCATTACAATCCAGGTATTGGATGGTAGGTAGACTGATCCAGAATGACAGCCATTACAATCCTGGTATTGGATGGTAGGTAGACTGATCCAGAATGACAGCCATTACAATCCTGGTATTGGATGGTAGGTAGACTGATCCAGAATGACAGCCATTACAATCCTGGTATTGGATGGTAGGTAGACTGATCCAGAATGACAGCCATTACAATCCAGGTATTGGATGGTAGGTAGGCTAATCCAGAATGACAGTCCTTACAATCCAGGTATTTGATGGTAGGTAGGTAGGCTGATCCAGAATGACAGTCCTTACAATCCAGGTGTTGAATGGTGGATTAATGATCCAGAAGGATAGCCTCTTGCAATCCAGGTGTTGAATGGTGGATTAATGATCCAGAAGGATAGCCTCTTGCAATCCAGGTATCAGACGGTGGATTGATGACCCGGAAAGACAGCCTCTTAAAATCCATATATTAAACACGTTCGTAGAATAAAAAGTACAAACAAAACAAATAACGTATGCATAATCTCAGAAACGCAATTATTGACACAAAATATTATACCAGATAACTATTAGTGAAGAAACATTAATGAAAGAAATAAAAACAGCAGGATTACTCATCAAATGATGTAAGTACTGGATCATAACATGTAACCATCCCCTACCCCAAACAAGAAACCAAAAAAATCCAAAAACGTTTATATGTTCAACACAGTAGACACACCAATGGCATTCAACTACACACTAAATACATACGTCTCAATAAAGAAATGTGTTAATAATGACAGTGGCATCTTCCTGAACTTTTAAGCCTTTCAAAGTTTAAATATAATGAGAAGACATTGAAAACACACCGCGTATGGTGGTTATCACCTATCTTAGGTTAAAATCTCACTTACGGCAGTTAAATTAATAATTAATATTTCCTAACTAAACAATTCTCTTTTGTCATTCAAATGTTACGATGGTCATTCATCTCGAACTTTGGAGGGGGGGAGGTGGAAGTCGAAGATCTTACTAGTCACCTGAATATTCCTTCTACACTTGGTTTAGACTTTAAGCCAGGAAACATATGAAATATGTAAATGAAGTCATACAAATTTATATGCTATTTTTTTATGACAAGTGATATGCCTATTAATTAATAGTCTTGCCTCCTAGTCAATTGCCACTGCTGTTATGGCAAACAGAGAGACCCCCAAGAAACAGTTACGTTATCCGACAAGCGTTGGAAAGTTACATACACGCGCGTGCGAATTACCTATCTTATTTAACGTGTACACCATTTTTCTCCTCAGGAATATGAATAAACTATGAAAAAAAGCATTAAAAACACAAGCACTATACGAAAGTTTTAAATAAGTTAATAGTCATTTACTGCTTCCAGAAATACATTTACAATGACGTCATATGTAATAACATAAACTGAAACTAGTTTAGCAGGCAAAAGTGTTTGGTAATAATAATAACAACAGTTTGCCTTGGAGTCAATTTCAGCTCTTGAAACACCTGTATATACTTTGAAGCCTCGTATTTCGAGCGTGGAAATAATACGCTGGGCATTCGTGTAATATTCGCCGACGTACTTTAACTTGTCTAATATATATATATATATATCTACAACCTATCAAAACCCATGTTTTTGTATTGTTTTTAAACGTGTTAAAGAACAACTAATTATTTGTATGTTTGGGAATAATAATTATGTTATTGTAAGTTTTTAAATACATGTAGTTTACTGCAGTAACATTTACAGAAATATTAACAAACTGTCAGTTGATAGTTATTATTTACCGTTCTAGAGAACATGTGGACGTTTTATAGAGTTTATTTCCCTTGTATGGTGATTTCTTTTACAAAAAAGTTTTTTTACCATCTACATAGTTCCACAAAGTATTAAACCAAAGTTATGTTATCATTCCTATACGTTTGAAAAGAAGGCTTTTGTTCCTTGCAGATTATCAATGATTAGTATATAAGGTCTAAAGATTATAGCCGAGATCGTATCTTTTGTTCAAAATATATATATTATGTTACTTATGCGAAGGATTAATTGCTATTTTTTTGGAAAAATGGGGAGATGATACAAGTTTGATAATCTTACAGAAAGTATGAACATATAAACTAATACATAAGTGACTGCTAACAACATCACTAGGAGCACTGTTATTTTGAAACCCTGTACTGATTTCTTGGCAATCTCTGGTAAAAACCGGAGAAATATATGTCATTCAAAAATAAAAAGTTGAATATTTCTCTATTTTAGAGTAAATAACATTTATTATCGTAAATCTCTGCCAGGAGCAGAGCAGATGTTGAAGATAAAAGCGTATAACGTTTTGCTGTATAATACAGCATTCAGCACAGAATACAGACGAGCGAGACAACAATCGGAAAACTGGTTGTATCCGATTCTTTCCACTGGATCCATATCAGAAGTTTGAGGTAAGGTGGCTTATCAGTAAATGTTAACCGCTCCGAAGTCCATATCAGAAGTTTGAGGTAAGATGGCTTATCAGTAAATGTTAAGTTATTATCTGAAGTAATTATCGGTAAGTTCATATTTGATAAATAAAAATTACATTGTTACTTTGTGATGTATATGTAAATTGTAATTTACTGGACAGCCCAGAATAGAACAAGTCACTACTAAGATAATCATATGCAAAGTAGACGGTGCACGATTATGTATTTATGATGCAAAAGGTAAAGAAGAAATACTCTAATCGGTAACATAAATTTTCTAGTTGTTTCAAACACTGAATTTTAGAATTTAAAAACTAAGATGTTCCTACCTTGAGTGAAGTTGGAAATACTTTCGTTCCCTAAGGCCTTGTTGATAATAACCCCATGTTTTGGTGGCACAGTAATAATGTATTGTATAACAATTTCCTGGCTATCCGAGTCTTCTGCTCGAAGAACTTTGTTAGTAAAGCGGTACCCGAGTTGACCATTGTGTAGTGGCCCGATAGCCGAAGCGCCCCTATTTAACACAACTTGGGGCACATTGTTATCAACTGGTACGATTTCTATTTCAACTGTCTGTGGCCTTCGGGTTTCTTTCGCTGTGTCTGGGTACACATAAAACCCCACGTGAGTGCCATCCGTTAAGGTGAAAGAAAAATTGTCTTCTTTACTTTCGCTACCATCGTGGTGATAACTAATCCTATTTTCTCGTAAATCTTCCATGGTGAATACTGTAATAGGGTAGAGATTGTTATATAATATCTTCCCATGAACTGGGACTTGAGTTATAGTAAGTTTTAACTTTTTATCATCCGTGTCTCTGTCCTCTACTTTCAACTCAAATGGAGTAATAAGTCCTTCACCGCTCTCGAGTATTCGCAGTTTGTTGATAAACACAATTGGTTTCTTGTTGTCCACATCGCTAATTGAGATCCTGAACGTTCGAAACACAGAGTTGTAGCCATCTGTAACCTCAAATTCAAAACTGTCCATCTTGGTCTCTTCACCATCAGTGTGGACATAGTAGATCTTGTTTCCAGCGAGATCCATTTGAGTGAATAACGTCACTGGAATACCTGGATTGTCGGTAGACTCCAGATGCCCTCTGGTTGGATCCCTGGTTATGATGAAACTTAGGTATTCATCATCACTGTTGAGATCGCTAGTACTAAGAACATCTGTTGTCAATGTAACCCGTCCCCCTTCTGGAAGTTCCACGCCCTTATTGATAACATCAGGATATACTAGATCGACCCCTTCCACGGAAATCCAGAAGTATCTGTCAACATAAGTGTTGCGACCATCAGTAACATCGAATTTAATCAGATCTCTGACACCTTCCCTTCCTGTGTGAACATACATGATTAATTCTTCATCAATATCGCCCTGTGTAAAGTTGGTTCCCTTCGTTAGGTTGAGGTAAGGTAATCGAGAAATGGGATCCAACAAAATAAAATCGCCATGTCTAGGTGGTTGTCGAACTACAAACATTATAGTGCTGTCGTCAGTGTCTATGTCCTCTGCTTTAAGTAACCTATTTGTAACTAACTTACCCTCTCCTTTACCTACCTCCAAACCGTCATTGATTGCTAAGCGAGGAGTTTCATCATCGACAGGGTAAATCATAACCTTAACCTTTTTACTGGTATTATGTAACCCATCACTTACTTCCAATTCAAACTCATCTTCCTTAGTTTCAGAATCATCGTGTTCGTACATAATGTTTGAGCCATAGGATATTTGGTCTAGGGTAAAACTATCAATTATTTCGTCTCCTGTGGCCAACTGGACCACGATTTTGCCATGCTTTGGTTTATTCTTAATTCTGAATGTTAACGTATTCTTTGGGACATCCAAATCGTCTGCATTAAGAATTGGCAAGTCGATACTTAGTTTCATGCCTTCTTCAACAACAAACTCTCTCATAAATATCTGAGGGATTTCGTCATTGGTTGGTTCAATCTGAACTGGAAAAATAGATCTAGGAGAAAAGTTTATTCCATCTGAACAACTGAACGTGAATCTGTCATTGGTAGGTTCCACCCCCTTATGGACACTCTGAACATAATTTATAAATCCACTTTTTATATCGGCGATCTTGAAGGCAGTGACAGGTATTCCAGCTCTAGACCTTTCAGAACCTGGACCAGGAGATATATTTTCTACATATCCATGTAATGGCTGCACTAGAATAGTGCAAACTATATTATCATCCTTAGTGTCTCTATCGGTAGAATTTAAATGAAACAGGGTTATAGTGGCCTTGTTGGCTTCAGGAACGACTAGTGTTGGTTTTACAGTTACAACAGGGGCTACACTGTCCACTGGTTCAATATTAACTTTGACGTGGATATAATCAATTTTATTACCTCCCAATAGCAGGTCATTGGACATATCAGATATAGATAAATTAAAGGTATCTACAGTGCTGGTTTCTCCTATTTCAGCTCCATTATGTATATAAAACACTCTCTCGCTTTCCATATCACCTTGGGTAAATCTGTCAGTGTTGACTCCATTCAGTTCAATCCTGCCCTGTCTTGGAGGGTAGTCAATAAGAAATGTTATTTTCAAGTCTTCTGTGTCTGGATCAGAAGCTTTAATAATTTTCGTGGTGATGGGTGCTTTGCCACCTTCCTTCACGTTTACAGATGCACCAATTGTACCCGGAGCTATCTCCAGAGCAGGTGCTTCGTCATCAATAGGACGAATTTGGATATTTATGGTTATGGGAACTTTGTGTATGCCATCTGATATTTCAAGTTCAATCTTATCACTATCCTTCTCAGCTCCATTATTAATGTAACTCACAAGTCCATTAGCAATATCTTTCTTTGTGAATGTAGCACCTTTTCTGAGGTTTTTAATTCCATAATTCAAGATACCGTGATTGGGAACTTGTTTAACAGTAAAAACAATGGAGTTAGGTTCTGTGTCGACATCATCAGCATCTAAAACATTAAGACTGAGTGTCACAAAACCATTTTCAAATACTTCCAGTCCTTTATTGTAGATAACCGGTGGCTTGTTATCCACAGGTTTCAGCCTAATGGTGAAAGTTTGTCCAGGAAGAACGTTTCCTATCGAATCTTCCACTTGAAACTCAAACTGTATAATTCGTGGGATGATACCTAGTTCAACTGATGGGGGCTTGTAAGCTATCTTATGGTGATTAACTTGAGCTTGAGTAAAGTTAGTGACTTCTTGGTCAGGAGTTTCGGATAAAACTATCTTTCCTGGATCTAATGGATTGTTTGGGTCAGTGTTGTATGGTTTACGTGTGATCACGTACTTCAAGTATCTGTCTTTAGTATCCATATCTGTGAAACGAAGATGCTTTTTTGTAATGACAGTTTTTTCAAATTCGTCCACTACTATTTCAAGAGGAGTTCCTAAATATGGCTCAGGAGGTATATTATCAAGGGGCATAATTTTGATAACAAATTCTTTGTCTCCAGATTCATTCGGAGGGATGTTATCATCAGATACACGAAATTTGATGCGGTCTATGATGGGCTCAGTTTTGTGGTCACCAGTGCGTCTGTAAAATATGCGACCTTCCAAAAGGTCCTGTTGTGTCCAGGTTGTGATGGCTCTCTTGTAGCTACCATTCACAAATTGCCAGTTTTGTGGATCAATAGGTGCCTCGGTCTGTTTCATGAATATTTCTCCTTCTGAAGAACGAGGATTTTTTAATTCAAACTTTATTCTAAATTCATCACTGTCAACATCAGTGGCACTCAGAACAAATGGGGTTATTTTCATTTCTTCCTTACGAATGGTCACACCAGTGTTCACATTTAGCACAGGTGGTTCATCGTCTTCAGGATAAACAGTGATAGGGAAAAGAAATTCTACCTGTTTAACACCATCATCTAGTTTAAAGATTATATTATCACTATAAGTATCACTACCGTCATGTTGATATGTTACCAAACCAGCATCAAGATCAGCAGGTGAGAACTGTTTCACTGGGCTACCCATCAACAGTAGCTGACCATGTCTCAAGCCATCCTTTACAGACACAATGACATCATCAATATTATTTTCATCAGCTATTTCTAGGTTCTTTGAACTCTGAAGCTTCCTGGACTGGCCTTCAAATAGCATAAGTCCAGAATTTCGTGTAGCTAGAGGCGCCAAAGTGTTCTTAGGATGGACAATAATCATTAAGCTAAACGGATCTGAATTCAACCCTTCAGCATCTATTACTTCCATCTCCACTCCAAAAGTCCTTTTAATGTCAGAATCAGATGCAGGAGGTTTATAAGCTATCTTAAGGTCATCCAAGTCTTTTTGGTAAAAAGATGAAATGGGAACATTCTGATCATCAGTGCTGACGATCTGACCCTCTCCATAGCTTAAGGGAGACGTGATATTGAAGATAAGTTTCTCTGGAATAGTCTCTGAATCTTGCGCTGAGAGTATCTGAGGGGTGATAGCTGTCATAATAAACTGATTTACGTCCATTAACAACAGAGAGCTGAAACTTGGCTGAGGAGGGGTATTGGGCTGGCCATCTTTTATCCTCACAGTCACTTGGAAGTATTCGTGTTTAAGTAAATTTCCATTAGAATCGGTCACTCTTACCACCATGGGAATGTAATCCTGATTAGGCGAGGAATAAGACGTATGTCTGTAGCGGATATCCGCCTGCAGAAAGCTGTCACAGTTCTGCCTCACTCCACTGTTGGAGATATTTACAACCTCCCCATATCGTGGCAGTTCCTCACTTTCAAGAACCATCACCTCACAATCCTGTTTGTTCTTGTCATACGTAAACTGCAGTGCTTTATTATCAATAGGCGTGCTTACTCCCAGAAGGTTGTCTACTGTAATCGGCATGTTTCTGGTAACGACTTCCAACTGATCAAAAAGTACCTGAACATTTATAGTAAATGGCACAATTATGGTGTCATCGGCTGTATCATAACGTAGCAGTAGCTTAACCATATCTTGAGGAGGCGTGCGAGCCCCAAAGTGGGAGTACTGTACCTCCCGAATATCAAACTTACAAGGGAAGTGAGAGGGGGTCAGCTTACCTGGCCGTTGAGAAAGAGGGTCATTTTGAATAACCTTGACAGTACATCTATCTCCATCTCTGACCCTGATTTCCAGATCTTTCACGGGGTCGACATAAACAGCCCTGCCAAAGGGTACTTTTATACCACTATTAGTTTTGACCACGTCCTGCTCGCTCAAAGGAACACCTGGTAGGTATTCGTGTGTTTGGATGGCGAATGAGACGAGAATGCAAAATATAAAGCTTACAGTCCAACACATATTTCCTGGATATAAACTTATAGCGCAAAAAATAAACACAGTTCTGATAACTTCCTGGCTAGGCAGGGACGGTATACACTTCAAGATGTCTCAGGCATTCACCGTGTTTCTCCGCTGTATGGGGAGCCGCCTTATCTTGCTCGCTTTCTCTACGACAGCGCCCGTTGAAGCTAGTGGAACTTCATCTCCTCGCGCCAGCCAAACCACTGCTTGTGCCAGCAGTAACACCATGCGAACAACTACGAAACCACTACGGTGACTTGTACATGAGGTAAACTCCTAGCTGTACACCCGCGAACCCAGTTGACTATACGTATGTTGCCCAATTTGGAGCAAGCGTTAGAACAGTTCACTAGGACAAAGCAAACTTCATTTTCTGTTGTTAGTAGAGTAACAATTAACGTTGTTGTTGTTTTCTCACATACACGCACATTTATTTTTCATTTTTCTGATAACACCATATAAATATATTGTTTAGTATTCAAACAATTATTTGACTAATAACTGCGATAATTCAAACTTGGTCACACTGTTAAGTACAAATCTGCACAATAGGTTATCTGTGCTCTGCCCACCACGATTATCGAAACCCGATTTTTAGCATCACAAGCTTGCACTGAGCCACTGGGGAGGGGGGGGGGCAAAATTAATCCCACCGTTAGGTATAAAAAACACTAATGGTTAAAAATAGTATCTGTTGTAATTCCCTTTTGTTTTTAAACACTGTAATTTTCATTTACAACAAACTGACTTTTCAACTGTTTTAAAAATTTCTCCAATTCTTAGTAATATGAAAATTTATATGTGCCGAGTCCCAAAAAATACATTTATTTTAACATCTGTTTACTTATAAAGTAAGTAATCCACGAAACGAGGATTGAAAATCATATTGCAGCTTATTTTTAAATGTAGAAGAAGCTAGTTTATACCTGATAGATAGCGTTGTTCACTGATTTATGTTCATTAACGATAGGGAGCTGTAACTTGACTGAAGAGGGGTATTTGGCTGAACATTCTTTGTCCTCGCAGTCACTTGGAAGTATTCGTGTTTAAGTAAATTTCCATTAGAATCAGTCACTCTCATTACCTTCCCGTGTTTACCCTCACACGTGAAGTTAAAATCAAATTACACACAACTTCTATGAATTATTATTTTCTGTTGTTGTTGAATTTCGTGCAACTCAAAAGCAATCTGGGATAGCCGTCCTTATAATTTTGAAGTGGTAACTAGAGGGAAGACAGCTTAGCTAACCCCACCCATTGCCACCTGTGGGGCTATTCTTGTAAGAGCGAATAGTGAGATTTAACATCACTCTTATAACTTATAACTCATCTTCTCTTTATTATTATTATTATGATCACGGAACCTCACATCCACAACCCCGTATGTTACCCATTGAGCCACGCTCGACCCTAAGTCTGTAAATCTGGTTAAGAACTATCTGCTGTGTCCACCGTGGGAAATCGAACCCTGGATGTTAATGTTGTAAATCCAAAGACTTAGCAGTAAGTGGACACTGTTCCACCGGGGGGACATGGTTGGTAAGAAATCGTGACAGGTAAAATAGATGAAATATATTGTATCAGAAAGTTCTGTTTGTTTGTTGGTTTGAAGTTATGCACAAAGCTACACAATGGGCTATCTGTGCTCTGCCCACCACGGGTATCGAAACCCGGTTTCTAGCGTTTTAAGTCCGTAGACATACCACTGTGCCACTGGGGGGGGGGGCACATCAGAAAGTGAAAGAAAGCGTAAAAAGTCATAGAAATATTACAAAGAAGGAAATGGGGGGAAATTATTATTCGGGATTATGACATTTATGGTACCTTAAAAAAGGGGGCACAATATAAATTAGATTGTTAGGGAATGTCAAGGGGAAAAGACCGAAACGTGCGTTGTGATTTTTTTGAAAACTGTTTGTTTGTTTGAAGTTAAGCACAAAGCTTCACAATGGGCTATTTGTGCTCTGCCCACCACGGGTATCAAAACCCGGATTCTAGTATTATAAATCCGCAGACATGCCGCTGTGCCATTGGGGGGGGGAGCTTTGAAAACTGAAGTGTCCATTTTAAACATAACATAATTTTAAAATTATCAACATCCTATGTTTTTGATTAATTAAGTATATATCAGCACCAAAGTTTGAAATAAGTCGGTGGTCGAAAACGCATAATTCATATTGCGATTATGGACTTAGGAACTGATTGATACACATGAACTGCTAATGTTGGATTTCATATAGGTATACCAGGATAAATTTGGTTGTTTGAAAACAAATCATAACGCCACATAATTATTTTGTTATATTCATTTTTTTTTGTAATTATCACATTTTTTAAAACGCATAGAGGATAGATAAGACTTTTAATTTTGGTTATGTGGCCAGAAATGGTATTCCATGGTTGAACAGTGTGTCCTATTCACCATAGAAATGATACAGAATAATATTAAATGTTTAGCTTCGATGATTACACACAATAATAAGCCTATTGATAATAAGACGTAAGAAAAGTCGCATGCGTTTGTTATAATTTAACAATATATGCTGACAAACATTATACCATAAGTATGTGTTATTTATTGGTTCTAACGTAAGATAGAAAAAAAACACGAGAAACTGCTTTGGTACGAACACCATTTTTTTATCTTTTGGTGTAAAAGAACTTATATCATATACAAATTAACTTCAGTATTAAAGAAATATATATATGTTTACTGTTCACCACAGTGTTCTGCTTTTTTGGAATTAATGTCTCACCTGTTTTCAGAAGTTGCTCCCAGTTTTAGAACGCACGCGCGCAAAGTGCGTGTCGTCTGCTGAGGAGGTTACTTAGTTTTCTGGCCTTGAAAGTTGGTGTAAGAAACTCTGACGCCGTGTTAGTTCAGTGAATGTATTTCGTCAGAAATTTATTGTACTGTAAATATATCTAAAAAAATATATATATATATATATATTTCAAGCCCATTTGCACCAGCTAATTATTTAGTGTTGTTTCTCTCAATTTACAAATAAATAAATAATCATATAAAATAAAATATACAAGTGTAAAAGTATTGTCCAAACTGTTTAAAAAAGCATTTAATATAAGCATAGTTTCAAATTAAGTTTCCTGTTAAATGTTACAAGCTATTGATTCGCTATATTTGATCCGTGAAAAAATACAATAACAGCAGCGAATATTTTTATATCTAACATACAGTTAAGTGAGTTTCAGTTTCTTCTTTTCTAACCAAATATATCATCAAGTCTGAAGTATTAATTTATAGTTAGCATTTACAGCGTTCGTATGTGAGGCGACCATTAGGTCTTAGAGTACTACTTTTTCTATTGTGTTAAATTTACTAAAAACGTAAGAAAAAAAATTAAATTCTTCTTTATGATAGACACCTGTTTCGGTGAACTCACTAAAAATATTTTCCCAATAAAACAATGAAGATACGAAATAATTGAAATATTCGTGGCTTTTTTGAGAATTTAAGGTTCATCTATTTTTCTCAACTTCATAAGTTTGTGTGCTTTGCCCCCCCCCCCCAGTATCACAGCGACATGTCCGCGGACTTACAACGCTATAAACCGGGTTTCGATACTCTTGGCGGGCACAGATGGCCCATTGTGTAGCTTTGTGATTAACTTGGTTTTCGCAGTCTTCAAGATTTTATACGAAATTATCAAACCATTGTAAAGAATTAATTTTTTTTGTTTTTTTTTCTATCAAACATTATATAATATATAGGTAACCAAAACTATGTCGAGCACCTTAACCTCCATTTAATTGCTGAACTGGTAAGAAAGAAAGTTTAAGACATAGATAAGTTTGTTTTCGGTTGTTTTAAAATTTCAAGATGGGACACCCTCCTTATCTCTTGGTTCCCACACAAAGCCGGAGAATTCTTAAAATTACAAACAGC